TTTTTTATATCGATAAATACATTTATAAAAAATATTTAACTCAATATACTTGCGAGTCATTTCAAACTGTTCTGTTAGTGCTGTAGCCCATCTACAGTACCTTTGTGGACCACCAGAGGACCCCAGCCCACACTTTGGGAATCACTGTGCTAGAGAAAGATGATTCATGTATCACTAACGTAAAAGGTCCAGGAAACGTTGTGAGGAGTAAAGATATTTCACAAAAATATCTCCTCCTGTGGAACCTGCTCACAGTTCAGGTTCAGGAGACAGACACCCTCTCTAGCCTCCTTCAGTTCCACACGTAAACAGGATGCAGTCTATTTACATGCTTTTAAAAATGGAATGAGTAAGTGGTTTTTATAATGTGATAGTGATGTAACAGTAAATTATGTAAAACCTTTTAAATATTTAAACATCAGACTTTGAAATGAACTCAAGTGGCCAATTGGGGTCTGGGCTGGAGGGCTGCTCTCCTGATGTGGGGACCAGGATGGTCTGCTTGTCTCCACCCCAGACTGAAGGGGGGGGGGCATCTCCTGAATCTGGGGGCTGATTGCCTATCTGGGGGTTATTGGTGTTTGGACCTGGGAGAATAAAGTGTGTGTACGGCATCCATTTCTGTGTGTCTCCAAAGAGGGTGTGTGTCTGCCTGTTTGTCTATGTGTACGTGTCAGACTCCCCCTCTCTCTTAGGACATCTCAGGCTCCCTCAGGTGTGGGGGCCTATTCCCCCCTGACACATTCCCTGCCAGTGACTGTTGCCCCCAACTGCTGGTGCATTGGTACTTCTCGGTATCTGGGCCTGGATGCTCGGTTCTGTACTGGCTTGTTCCTGGTGGCTGCTTGGTGGGACCTAGGCCCCCTGGATTTGTCTGCTCTTGGTGGGGGTTGGGGTGTCCTTGGGTCTCGGGCTTGGTCTGCTCCGGTGTAGCGAGTGGAGTGTGCGGGCTTGTCGCTGCAGTCACCTGAGGTGTCTGCACTGTGGCTGCTGGGTGACCCCTCCCCCGGGCTCTCCTTTGCTCTTCTCTGAGTGGGAACTGCGGTTGTCCCTGTGGTGGTCCACCTGGGGCTCTCACGCTCTGGAGGGCCTCTACATTTCTGCGGCCCAGATCTACTGCTTCAGGTCCTGGGGGGCGGGGCTGAGCTCCTGACACCCATTATTAAACATTAAATGGAGAAACTTAATTAACACAAGCACGCTCACGCAGAATACTCTACTTGCCAAAGTAAATCTGTCTGCCATTGTTTGCTGGACAGAGCAGGGAAAAAATGAACACAACTCCTGAATGAGCTCTCATTCAAACACACCAATTGATTTTTTTTTTCTGAATGTGTATTTTCATCAATTACTCCAATGCAAAGACATCAGCATTTGACTCTTGCTGGCATCCTCACCACAGTAATCTGTTGGCATAATTTACCATTTGCAGATTCATGAAAAAGAGGAGGAGGAGATGAATGAGAAGAACGACAATGCCAACTGCCTGAATGAAGAACCGCTTATCACAGCAGATCAGGTCTGAGTGTGTGTGTGTAAAAATCAAGTGAACGGCAAATTTTTTGTGACCAACACGTTTCAGCTTGTGGCCTTCATCAGCGTCATTGCAAAATGTCAAACAGTTTGTGTTTAAATAAAAAACAGGAAACAGAAAAAATCCAAGTGGACCAATCACACCTTCACAAATTAACAAGTTGACCAATTAAATTTAACGAGGTGGTACTGGCTAATTGGCTAATTGGTTAAGCCACAGCCCAAATAGATTCTGGACTGAACCACTACAGATTAAAAGGGGGACACCCCCCCAAATGTCTTAAAGTAATAAATACTCAAAATTACACAGGAAAATGCAAATAAGTTAAAATAAAAATAAGTACATTAACATTAAAAGAGGGAGAAACAATACAAAATCTAGTTAAAAACACAGAAACACAAAAGTAAAGTCCACAGAAACTCATTAATAGATAAATCCTCAGTCATACCTGTAGGGTGTAAACTCTTTAAACAGATTGGTCAGCTTGTTTATTTGTGAATCCCTCCATTTCTGTCTTCAAGGTCATTGAGGAGATAGTTGAAATGATGGAGAATTCTCCAGATCCTGGTGAAACTGAGGAGGATGAGGAGGAAGAGGTCAGTCACTCCTCCTCCAGGACCAATCTGTCCCTGCTAGAAGAGATCAGGCAGCTGTCACAGGCTTCAAACAACAACTGCTCCTATGAAGGTAAAGCTGTGAATAATCCATGTTTCTGGTTATTTCTTATTTTTATTTGACTTATGCAATGTCCTGACTGAGCTGTTTTAACTAATTTATTCTAATGCTATCGTTCAGGATTACCTCGTAGACTAGATATAATAGACTAGACTTCATAACAAGTGCATATTTTCTGTTAAGTAGCATGTCAGAAATGTGATAATTTCCTATTAAAGTCATCCTTTAGGTCAAAATTAAGGTACATACCTCAAGATAGCAATAAAATACCAAAGGTGGGACTCTCTTATTTGGTATTATCATCAGTTAAAGCTAAAAACTATCATCACCCTTTTCATAAAAGCTCCAACATGAATCCATTTAAAGGCAAAGATACAATGTTCAGGGAAAAATAAGTCTCAAATACAACTATAACTATCCATCTGTGTACATTAGTTATCTCATTTAGTTAGTTTGAAGATGAGAGTTTAAGAGGTCAATAACTTTTCTTTACAACTAAAAACTGTAAATAATAATTAGTTAACCTTCTTAAAGAAACAGAAACAGAAACAGCATTAAACACGCAGCACATGCGCATCTGTGCAGGGATTATCAGCTATGTCAGTTAGCATTACCAAGCTAACTTTAGCAAACATGAAATTTTGGCTGCACTGAGAAATCAACATATTAAAAACAAAGTAAAATGGTGGTTGTACAATAAATTAAGCCACCCACTAAATGAGTAAAATAAGCCTTTCCTTTTTGGCCACTATATCTAAATGTTGCTTCCATATTTTAGTGGTTTTCAGCTACTTTTATGCTATTTGTTCTTCTACTTTTCCACCATTGAGAAGAGCACTCAAAAGGTTACAGATACAGATAGATATTTGGAGTCAAAAGCCTTTTTATATAGTTTAGATTCACAGTTGCAATGTAATGACAAAAAGTTGCCCTGTGACTGACACGATATGTGTGCCATAATATGAACACCCTGCACAATATTCACCTTGCAAACTGGTCACATGTACCAAAGTGGTGGAAACACCTCATGTTTAATAGCCATGAAGAAACCAGCTGTTTTGTTCACATTGTCTTCTTTTTTAAAATAACTGGCTAACACTCTCTAACACCATTCTTTTTTTCTTGGGAATTTTACTGTATGAAGCAAGTAAATACTGTACAGTGGAAGAATACATGAATACATGGATCAAAGACAAACGTGCTTTTAAGGAAATTAGGTATTTAATAATGCTGATAAAATGATTTTTTTTTTAAGTATCTGGGGGAAGTGTATACTAATTAAAGAGCCTTGGTCTTATTGTGAAATTAAATTGCAGTTAGAGAGACTTAAATAATAATAAAAATTAAAATGATAAATTTTAAAATTGATATTCACTCATGTGTTCATTTTGTTATTTCACAATTCTTTTTTAAATGGTGGAGACTTTACGTGCAGTAAATGGACGTTATGGCACTATATCTAGTGTGGGTGTAATATAATATTATTTTCTGCCTCAGCATGCATTTTACATGATCAAATTTGTAATTCAAAAAAACTTCCCAGTTGAGCTAAAGCATGACAGTATGAGCAGCCACAGACAACGTCTTTAGGCATCTGCGATGTAA